TCTCTCTCTCTCTCTCTCTCTCTCTCTCTCTCTCTCTCTCTCTCTCTCTCTCTGCCTTAGTGGTTACCAGCCTGGGGGCGGCACATGGACACGGACACGGACACGGACACGCCAACCACTGTGTAAGTTTTCAGGGACTGTCTGCAAGCCGTAGTCACTGTACCAAGCAGCTTTTTCAGTTCTCCTTCACCTCTGCTGGTTTTTCTGGGCTCCAGCCTCCAACCAACTCATGGAGATACTGGCTCTCAGGCCCTGAAACTCCCTAAAAAAACGGTCTCATTTTTTTTTTTTTGGGGGGGGGTAGCTAAGCAAACAAAGCCCTATATAGGAAGCTTCCCAGAGTCACCTGGTCTGTCAGTTAGGATCTGCTGGTTAGTTCTCTACCACCCTCGGGGGGGCCACCACACCTACCCTACTCTGAATGCCCGCTAACTTTGGGTTTTGACTCCAGGTGGACAAGAGCCTTGCTTCTTGACACGCACTTTGACTTTGTTCAGTTATCTTGCTGTCTTCCGGGCCTGGTCCCTCACAGGTTCAAAAACCTCCTCTAGCTCTTTCCACGCACTCCTTCTGTGCCTTGGCCCGCAAAGCTGCCAGGTCCAACCCAGGAATGCCAGCCTGTGTCTTAGGGCACCACCCACCTCAGGAGACCTGCCTGGTCCTAAATGAGGACCATCCAGAAGGGCTTTTTCTGCCCTGGAGCCAGGTTCAGGAGGGGCAGTGTATGTATACTCTTTCCCTCTGTTGCCTTCTTTGCTGCATTGGTTTCAAGGACTCCAGGCTCCCTTTGCCCAGGCTCGTCCTTATATCCCTGTCCTCCGTTCTCTCTGCTTCTCTGGCTCTTTCTTTCTCTCCTTCCCGGTGTCGCGTTCAGTCTGCATCTTCTGCGGTCACCTGGCTCTTTGGTGCTCCTTACACCCTGCCCTGTTTCCTTCTCTACCCTTTTCTCCTTCCTTCTCTCCTCCCTCTCCCTCCCTCTTCCCCTTCAACACATCTGTTTCTAATCTGAGCGCTCAGAGGCGCCTGTTTGAAACAAAAAGCTCCCCCCACCCTCAAAACCTGGCACAGAAAACCCTGGATGAACCTTTCCTCCCCAGCTCTCCACTTTCCCCTGGTACTCCTGAAACCAAACCACGCGCTGAAAAGTACCCTCCACACCAAACGGTTCTCCGCCAAACTCCACCAGGAAACGCCCCCACCCCGTAGCTGGCTGGAGGGCCCAGATGTGTGAGACATTTCGATGGCCGACTGGGCGGTCCTCCGCTGCCAGATGCGCCCCTCGGTGGCGCGGAGGCAGGGACCGAGTGGTTGCCGCACTCCGAGACTGCGGGGACCACGGTGCTGAGGGCGGGTCTCCACCCAAACGCTGGGGTGGCGTTTCCCCAGGGCCATCCAAACTCCCGCCCTCCCCAAGGCACTCACCTAGCCAGAGGAAGAAGAGGAACATCCCGATCCCCGGACACGGGCACTTCCCGGCTCAGCGCAGCCTGGCTGCAGGGCGACCGAGCCCAGCCGACGGACCTTCTGTGATCAGGGCGCGGCGCCTTGGGGTGCGCGCGGGGGGCTGCAGCCATGTGCGGGCGCTGGCCCCGCGCCCGGGTCCCCTGCGCGCTGCGCTCCGGGGGCACCGAGGGCTTCTAACCCTGGCTCCACCAGCTCGCGCCGGGACGGGGGCCGGGCCCAGGATTAGGGAGGAGAAGGCGAGGCGGCAAGGAGCTACCGCTTCGTGGAACACTTTTCCCTGTTTGGAAAGAAAACCGACTGGAGAAAGAGGAAAAAAAATGAGCTGGAACCACACGGCTGCCTCCTACCGCAGCCCCTCCCTCCATCCCTCCCCTCGCCCTCCCTTCTCTTCGCTCCCGCCCTCCCTCTCTGCGTTTGGGGTTAGCTGCTGGGGCTGCTTCACCTCCCACCCGGGAGGGAGGGCCGCGGCCCAGGGTGATCGAGGGGGCGCTCGGTGCCAACTGATGCGGTGCAGGAGAGAATCCGCAGCACTTCGGCCAAGAGCCGGTGGATGCGGCCTTTTCAATTCTGTCTTTTTTTCTCCTTGATTTCTCTAATCTCTCTGCTCTTTTGTATTTGTATATTTTTCTCCTTCACAATGCTCCAATGCTCCATGGTGTTTCTCTCTCTCTCTCTCTCTCTCTCTCTCTCTCTCTCTCTCTCTCTCTCTCTCTCTCTCTCTCTCTCTCTCTCTCTCTCTCTCTCTCTCTCCTTTCTGCGGGGAGGGGGGATGGCGGGGGTGGGGTGGGATGGAGGTAGACAGGGTCGCACTGTGTAGCTCTTTGTTGGCCTGGAAGTCTATGTAGGCTAGGCTGGCCTCGAACTCACAAATATCTACCTGGCGCTGAGCGCACCACTACACCAGATCTGGTTCACGTTCTTGCTTCTCCTCTTGTCTCCTCCTTTCTCCCTCCCCCTTCTTGTTTCCCCCAGTTTCTTGTTTCTCCTCTCCTGGTTCCTTCCAGGTCTGGTTAGGTCTGGATGAAGTCACTAGGGGCACCATATAAAGAGTGGGTTTGTGCAGTAGTGGCTCATTAAAACAGTTCTTCGGGCTTCCCTGTTTGGACCCTTTGCATTTGCTATTCATAGTCAACTGCTGTTAAATCCGTACAGGACTGAGCCAGCCACTCTCTTAAAGAAGTGGGTATCCAGGGTTCAAGGGAAGGGTGATACATTAAGAATCATCGTGGTGATGCACACATACATCCCAACACTTGGGTGGCTGAGGCAGGAGGATGGTCAGGAGTTCACATCCACCCTGGGTTATGTAGTGACTTCCATGACAGCCTGAGCTAAGTGTAACCAGCCTTGCATGGATAAAGAAATGCTAGACACTTGAATTCCTAACCTGGCCATCAATCAGACTATTAAAACAATCCCAATAAGCTGGAATCCCCCCTTCTCCCCAGGAATCTCAGGTTGGGAGAAGAAAGAGCCTAACAACTGGGTCGGCCAGAGAGAAACTTTTTTTCCTGAAAAGGAATGATGGGTGATGGGCAGGATCACTTCCTGATTGGGAGTCACTTAGATAAGAACTCAGCTTCTACTTATGCCTTAGTCCAGAACAGAAGACAGATTGGGGCAGAGGGCCACTGTCTCTCTCTCCCTCTTCTCAATGAGGCTGCGTGAGATTGAGTAAATTCCCCTTTTCTGCCCCAGGAACACTGCATTGGAGGTGGGCAGAGGGCAGGAGACTGGTGGGCTCCACAGAGGAGAGCCTGGAGTCACCCTTGGTGCTTAACCTCCAGTGAGAAAGGACCAGAGCAGAGCAGGGGCCGCTGCACAGGTCTCAAGGGCTCAGATCTCTTCCTGGCACCTTTCCTTGCACTGCAGAAAAGATCAGTCCTTTGTAGTCCCAGCCTATGGATGTCCCTGGAGCATTGGCTGGGGCTGCGGCCGCTCACCTTTGGTCCCGCCACCTAGACTGGGGGCTGGGGCCAGAGCCTAATCATTATTCATACAAGCAGTTATCAGTTCCCTCGGAGGCTGGCAGGCTGCCCCCCTCCATCTCCTTTCTGGCTCCCTTAGCCCCTTAGGCCTTCCCAGTTGTACTGAAAGTCAGCCCCATTTCACAGGCGAGAAAGGCAGAATCCAGGAGAGATTGCACAACTCTTACATTACTCCGAAATGTTGTCAAAAGCCTGAGTCGTTTTTTGGGATATTAGCTGCAACCCTTCCCCTCCCCAACATTCTTTTCCTTCCCCACATTCTGTCCTGAAAATTCAACCCAGACTTCACGCATGGGCATTGTTATTCTGTTTTAGAGAAAATGAAACTGTCTCTTAGGAGGGTAAAATATCCTGCCCCAGTTCAGAAAATGTTAAAACCTCCTTCCAAAAGCCCAGCATTTAAAACACTACATTTATATTATGAAATATTTAAAAGGTTTCTTTGGTTCTGGAATAAATGTGTATGTGTGCATGTGTGTGTATGCCTGTGTTATATGTGTATGTATGTATGTATGTATGTGTGAGTGTATGCATCTGTGTGTGTATTCATGTGTATGTTTGTGTATGTGTCCTATATGTGTTCGTATATGTGTGTATGTGTGTGTATGTTTGTGTGTGTATGTGTCGTATATGTATATGTATATGTGTGTGTATGTTTGTGTGTGTATGTGTCCTATATGCATATATGTATGTGTATGCATCTATGTGTATTCGTGTGCATGTTTGTGCGTATGTATCCTATATGTGTCTATGTGTGTGTATGTGTGTGTGAGTGTGTACATTTGTGTGTGTATGTATCCTATATGTGTATGTATGTATGTGTGTGTGAATGTGTATAGGTGTGTGTTTGTATGTGCGTGTGAATGTATATATGTGTATGTGTGTGTATATGTGTGCATATATGTATGTGAGTATGTGTATACATGTATGTGCATATGTGTGTATGTGTGCGTATATGTATGTGTGTGTATGTGTGTGTGTATTTGTGTGTATATGTGTGATAGTGTATATATGTGTATATTGATGGGTGTATGTATGTGTGTATATATGTGTCTCTGTGTGTATGTATGTATATATGTGTGTATATATGTGTGTTATATGTAGGCGTGTTTCTGTATGTATGTGCATGTATGTGTGAGTGTATGTGTATATGTGTGTACATGTGTGTGTATGTTTGTGTGTATTTGTGTGTGTTTGTGTGGGGGCAGGGGTTATTTGAGAAAGAGTCTGACTGGATAGCACTATTTTGCGTGAAACTTGCAATGTGGTCAGGGATGGCCTCAAGTTCATACAGAGCCTCCTGCATCTACCTCCAGAGTGCTGAGAATAAAGGTGTGTGTAGAATAAAGGTCTGTATAGGTAAATTTTTCATGTTTTAATCACTTATCTAATAGGGCGTATCCATAACTATGTTGAAAAATGAATTCTTTACAAAGACTGAGGGAGTGGGAAAGCGGCTAAAGGAAAGATAGCTCTTTTGATATGTCTGATCCACAGCTTTTAAAAAAATGCTTGACATCTTTTCAGACACACCAAAAAGTAGTAACGACAATACAAAAGCCTCTGGGTGCCCTCTCCTCGGTTTCCCCTCTTCATAGCCTCCTTAGGAAAGCTGTATTTTGATTCTGTTCGCTTGTAAAGCACCACGTCTACTCCCCTGCTTCCTTTCTACTATTGCTGCTCTGGCTGGAGGGATGTGTGCCTGAAGACAGACGTGGGTAAGTGCAGCACATGCATGTCTAGATCCATATGACCCAAGCTGAGGTTACCAAGACTCCTTCGGTCCAGGTCGTTAACCACTGACCCAGGTACTTAGATCATGCTGAGATTAAACACTCACTTTCCACAAGTCCAACATCCTCGGGCCACTAGGGAGCAGATGCAATCTTCCTTGAGGAAGGGTTTGCCACTGACCTAAATCCAAAGCAGAGCTTCTGGAGACGGCCTATAATAGCATTCCACTGCCTGCTGATGCTGGGTCCCTTGGGAAGATCCAAGGATGTATGTGACACTCTTACCTTTAGTGGGCCATCAAGTCCAACGGAGAGAAGACTTCAGCATGTGAAATAGTTCAACGACAACAGAAGACAGTTAAGTTTCCGGTAAGAACAGACTCTGAGTATCCCAAGCACACTGTGGAGTACAGTAGTTAGAGAGCAATGTCCCAGCTTCGAGGACAGACAGGACGGAGCAAGAGCCCTGTGTGGGGTAAGACATGGAGTCGACACATTCAGGAGACACTGGTTGAAAAGGAAGATGAAATGATTGAAGCAGAAAGCCCTGGAAACATGGAACTGAAGTCAGACCGAGAAAGCTACTGAACGCCGGGCAAAGGCTTCTGGGATTTGTTCAGCGTCGAAATCACATTAACACAAAATACCTTGATGACTACAAGGGTCGGTGAGCGATGGAGAGCCTTGGCATCTCCCTCATGGCTGCTCATCTTCTGACTCCAAGCTTTCTTATGACCACTAAACATTGCCTCAGTACTTCGGCTTTCTGTTTGTCCGGTTGGCTGGTTTGGTTTGGTTTCTTTTGTGTAGCTCAAGCTGGCCTTAAACTTGATATATAACCAGGAAGACCTTAAACTTCTGATCTTCTTGCCTCCACGTCTGAAGTATTTAGATTACAGATATGTACTTTCAAATCCAGATGTCTCCAGATGTTGTAGAATATTCAGTTTCAAGAATTAGCTGGAGATGTACCTCATGTAAGAGGCCTAGAGTTCAATCTACCATTCCACATTAAGCAGGCATGGTGGTGAACACCTGCAGTCCCAGCTGCAGGAGGAAGAAACTGGAGGATCAGAAGTTCCAGGTCATCCTCAGCTGCATAACACTTTTGAGGCTAGTGTGGGCTACGTGAGATCCTGCCCTCCAAGAAAAATAAGGAGGAGGAAGAAGAGGAGAAGGAGAAGGGGGACTAGGAGGAAGAAGATGAAGAAGTAAGGAAAGAAGGTAGGAAACACTTGTTGCTTAGCTGGTTGCGTTGACATGTGTTTGCAATCTCTGTATCAGGGGAGACCATTGTGAGTTTAAAACTGTTGCAGTCTATAGAGTGGGACCCTATCTCAAAACAAAGCAGAGACATACGTCCTGAACTCTTATTCTAGCTCTCTGGGTCTCCAGAGAGTGCCATCCTAAACCTTTCCTCCAGGAAACTCCTGGGGCCTGCAGGAGGTCAGGGGTGGGTGCATGATGCCTTAAGGGTGACCTAGGAGCTAGTGAGAATGTATGTCATTTAATTCTTGATGGCAGGGGCACAGAGAAACAAATAGAAGACAAATGAAAAGATTAGACAGGGCAAAGTGTCTAACAGTTACTGTGCATGAGAGAGAGT